CCCCCCCTGCCAGTCGTGCGCCTCCGAAGCGCCTGAGTCCCTCCGAGTGGCGCTTGCAGAGGCTTATCCAGCCCAATTTTTGAAAAGCGCGCCCTTTCTCCCTGCCTTTGGTAAGGCTCTGAATGGAGAAAGGAAAAAAGAAAAAAGAAAGCCTTTGGAGCCTTACCGAAGGCAGGGAGAAAGGGCGCACTTTTCAAAAATTGGGCTGGACAAGCCTCTGCAAGCGCCGCTCGCCAGCTCAGAGGGACCCCTGCCACTCTTCCAATGGTGCAAGGGAAGCCCCGGGGGACCTCCTAAGGTGGCAATCCAGGCGAGGGGGCCCCCCACCAGTCCTCTGATGGTGCTTCCCCAGCTCCCTAACTGCTTTTTCCAGAATTCCCATAGGAACACATTAATTACATTTCAATGCATTCCTATGGGAAACCGCAGCTCGCAAGACGAAAATATCGCAAGATGACATTAACCCTGGATTAATTTTGTCTTGTGAGGCACATTTCTGCTAGTTCCAAAATCTTCTCAATAAATTCCAATAAATAAAAAGAAGTTATGTTTACTCATTCTTAACAACTCATTGATTTTTATGAATTCATCAAACTCATAGCACATTTCAGTGGACTTCCCCCACAATCAAGAGGACAAGAAACTTGTTTTATTTTTAAGTAATTGCCTATTTAAAGATGAAGGCTATGGTCATTCCTACCAGATCCAATCCTCAGATATCTCCTGACACGACTACAAATTAAACTGTCAAGTACATTTGAGTGTCATTACTCAGTATCACTGCTGGGGAACTGCCACCTAGTTTAACAGCTGCCACCTGAAAGCTGGTGTGCAGCAGACCCTATTTCTCTCCATTCCTTTTGATTTACAGAAACTAACAGTTGACCACTGCTAGCTTGAATTTATGGCCTGTTTACCCTACATTTGGGGAGGTGTAGACATTTCAATTCACAAGGTATTCACGACAAGAACATCTGAGGACGATCATTCTCATCTGAAGCAGCTCTCTAGCCAGCGTAAGCACACAGTCCCTTTTCTTCCTCACCTTGGGGTTCAGTCTGATGATGTCATGCCGTTTCTCTGACAGGTTGAGAAGCTGTGGATAGAAAGAAACATCTCATGGGGCTCAATGGCTTACTACTCCCCTTCTAGCCATAATCAACTAGCCTGCCTTTTTCCTTGGCCAGCCAGTCTTTTCTTAGATATACAACAGGATGGTGTCCCTGGTGATCTCCAAGACTGACTACTGCAACTTCCCTTGAGACTGACACACTAACCTCAGCAGCTCCAGAATGTAGCTACCAAATTGGTGACAGGTGTCAGCAAATTCAACCACATCTCCCCAGCCTTGGCTCTCCAGCAGTGGTTGCCTTGTGGCCTCCTGGGTCAAGTTCAAGGTTTTGGTCCTTATCCATAAAGCCCTTCATGGTTTGGGACCCTGTTACATGTTGGTGTGCGTTACCTCAATAACATAAACCTGTGCCGCCAAATCCTCCCAGGCAATGCTCCTCTGTGTTGACACTCTGAGGGAGACCAGGAAAACATCCACTAGAAGCCAAGCCTTCTTGGTTGTGGCACCAGCCTTTTGGAATCAGCTCCCAGTCTAGCTGAGCCTGGCCCCCTCCTGGCTCCCATTTAGGAGGTTGCTCAAGATGCTGCTTTTTCCAGAATTCTTTGAGGGCAACCTATCTTGAATTCACCACTTTCCCTACCCATCTTACTATGGGTTCAATATTTGTGGTACCAATTGCTTTATGCTGCTCTTTCACTATTAGTTAACTCACTATTGGTTTTGTTGATTTATTGCTATTATTCTTGCATTTATTGATTGTTAACTACCCAGAATAGTGCTTTGCAGTAATGGGGGACTCTTGCATTTATTGATTGTTAACTGCCCAGAATAGTGCTTTGCAGTAATGGGGGAGGGAGGGACACAAACAAAAAAGGAAAGTCTAGCAATCTCTATATTCTTCCCTTGTTCTAACTCTGACAAACCAAATTCCAACCCGACTCTCTTGTCTCCATCCCCACCCATAGGGGTCAATGTTTTCATCATACCAAGCCTATTCCTAGCTTTCCCACTTTTATTCTCCTTTCTCAGAACAATTTCCTACGATTATGGGGCCAGAGGATCCATAAATTCCCTGCACTGGTTATCTCTTTGCAAAGCCATGTTTCAGATATTTCCTTCTGATCATCCCACCCCAAGGTGTGCAGGCTGTCCCTGCACTGTCAGCTGGGACATATTCAAATTGGAGATGACATCTTGGCTACATTTCAACCAGGATGGGGTGGGCATGTCCCAGAGGCCCAGAGGACAAATCACCCCCCACACTACCCCCAAAAATGGAAATGCCAAACTGAAAATGGGCAGTGGTTGTGATTTTCAAAAGGTGCTGAAAAGTTGTGGCAAGTTGCTTAAGAGTTGAGCTGCCACTCTAGGTGGCTTCAAGAATTGTCACTGAACTTTTCTTGGCATTCTATTTTTTTCCTAGTGAAAGGACATCTTTGGGTCCAGGAAAACAGTCTTAGCACTTCGTAAGAACCAGAATTTATACTTTCCCTCACCTCTGAATTAGGGCATTGATGGTGAGGAATAGGAAGCAGGGAGAATTTTATTACTCTGTTTTGGCATGGCAAGGTGTCTCTTGAGGAGGCAGTCGTATCGCATGTACTGAATGTATTCCCATGCATCAAGAAAGTTTTATGTCTTATATGCTGTCAAGTCACACCTAACTTAACAGTTTTTCAGGTTATGTGAGATATTTAAGGATTTATTTTACCAGTTCCATTCTCCCTGCCCCAGTGAGCTCCCATGGCTGAGCAGGGATTCGAATCAAGGCCTCCTGAATCCTAGCCTATCACTACATCTCTTATACTTCACTGGCTCTCAGCCAGACAGTTAGCAATTCCAGTTTTATGCACCCAACTTACAATAATTCACCCAAACTCACTTTACTTGGCTTATCATTACCATATACTTGTCCTCGTGCTTGGATTTAAGCATCTGGGCCACCTCCCGGAGGTTGCCCCGGTAACGCTGCTCCTCCAAGCCAGGGGGAAAGAAGACAGAGATGATGCGCTCAGTGATGTAGATGAGGTCAAAGTCATACTTGCGCTCCATTACGTGATCCAAGCTGAAACTCCTAAAAGAAAGAAAGGAACAATTCTTGAGTGAGTCAAATCTTGCATAGGTGTGTTGTGATCTACAGAGGCCCAACACACAACTTTACACACCAAACACAGGAATATTTTAGTAAGATAATGGGATGAAGCAGTTTTTCTTCTAAAAAAAGTCTCCTGTTATGATTTCAAGTCTGTAAATTAGTGTTTGTAAAAAGCCATATTAAGGCATTTTAACTGCTCCTAAACCATAATCCAGTGCAGAGCAAAGCCACTGGTCCATACCATGGAGTATCCTATCAAAAATCACTGTTGGTCTTAGTTTATTTGTTCAGATAGGTGCAAGGTTAAAAGTTAAAGCTGAGTTAAAAGGCTCCTTTGGAAGGCATCTATTTCACATACGCACCTCTTCAATATAGAAATTTTGCAGTGTAATTTTGCTATTGTGTATTTATGTCTAACAAACAGGCACCCATCCTCTGCTTGAAAACTTGTAACGAGGAAAACCTTGGTCTGCCTAAACCCCGTTGAACAGCTTGCATGATTAAGAAGTTTCTCCTAATGTTCAGCCCAAACCCACTTTCCATGCATTAGTACCAGTCTTGCCCCCCTTTACAGCAGTGGTCCTCAATGCTCCAGATGTTTTGGATCTCAACTTCCAAAAACCCCAGGCTTCTGTGAGTTGAAATTCAAAATCACCTGGAGAAGGGTTCACACACCCTTCAGAACAACAGAAGACAAGTCTCCTGCATGACCACAGATAACTGAAAAGCATGAGGTGATGGAATCAAGAAACAGTTTTTCAGTTCATTCACTATTTGTACATATTGCATCCTAATGCCAACTCGGATGATGATAGAATCTGAAGAAAAGTTTTGTTTCCAGGTCTTAATGCAATGGAGGGAGAGGCAGCATGTGGAAAATGCTTCCTCTTCCCCAGACTTAAGGAGACACAGCTTGCCATGCTAGAGCCACAGAGAACAAATGAATGCTCTACAGTTGTGCAGTACATGTCCCAGGACACTGCCTTTAGCAGGACTGAGCCAAAGAAGGAAAGACTTTTAACAAACACCTTCAGCAGAACTGAACCTCTTTGTTGAATAAAAAACAAAACAGAAAACCCTTCCTAATTTCTCAATGCCACCAAAAGGGGGCAGCAGTGCTTATTTATATATTATATGGTCAATATTTCTGGAATTCACTTCATTCAGCAGGAGTGAACCTCAGTATGTCGCCCACTCCACACATGGTGTGTGTGTGTGTGTGTGTTTGTTTGTTTGTTTGTTTGTTTACAGCTTCCTAACTTGCATTCACTGCACAATCCTTTACCAGACAGAATCACTCATGTGATTGACTCAGGACATATTAATTGGCTTCTTCTCTCTCCACCAACACCATTGTTGGTGTTGTTTCCTGCTGTCAATTTGCCTCTGACTCATGGTGACCCTATGAATGTGCACTCTCCAAAATGTACTGTTCTCAGCTGCCCTGCTAAGTTCTTGCAGACTCAAGCCTGTGGGTTCTTAAAGAGCAGAGGTCCCCAACCTCCGGTCCGCAGCCTGGTGCTGGTCCGTAGCTATGGAAGGACTGGGCCGTGGAGACAGATCTCCTGCCCCCACATGCATTCCCCCCACCCACACGCGTGCCCCGGCCACCCATGAACATGCCCCCAGCCACGCACGCATGTGGGAACACCCCCCCACGTCCATGCATGTGTACGAGTGCCCCTGCCCTTCCATGCATCCCACCCGCATGCATGCCCCGGCCACCCATGAACATGCCCCCAGTCACCCACGTATGTGCGAACACCCTCCCACACATCCATGCATGTGTAGGAGCACCCCTGCCCTTCCATGCATGCACACGAGCACCCCCCGCCCATCCGCGAGCGCACACTGCCCATCCACAAGTGTGTGGGGTGCCCTGCCCCCCCCACACAGACCCTGCCCCCCAACCAGTCCACGGTTCAGAAAAGGTTGGGGGCCACTATTTCAGAGAATGCATCCATCTTGTATTTGGCCTTCCTCTTTCCTTGCCGCCTTCGATCTTTACCAACATTATTGTCTTTTCCAGAGTCTTTCCTCCTCAGGGTGTGCTAAAAGTAGGACAGCCTCAGTTTAATCATTTTTGCCTCCAGACGTACTTCAAGTATCTGATCTAGGACCCACTTTGTCTTTCTGGTAAACCAGGATATCCAAAAAGCTCTTCTCCAGTACCACATTTCAAACAAATCATTTTTTTCCTGTCAGCTTTCTTTACTGTCCAGCTTTCACACCCATGCATGTTGATTGGAAATACAAGAGTGTGGATGATCTTGATCTTTGTCTCCATGAACACAATGTTACACTCGATGATCTTTTGTACAGTGGTGCCCCGCATAGCGAGGTTAATCTGTTCCGGATTAACCATCGCTATGGGGAAACATCGCTATACGGAACAAAAAAGTTCCAAATGGGCCCCAAACTCACTGTTATGCAATGTTCCTCCATAGTGCAGGCATTTTCGCGCCCTCGGTAAGTGAGGGCAGGGCGCGAAAACGCTGCGCGTGGCCATTTTGGGTGTTCTGGCGGCCATTTTGGAACCACCAAACAGCTGATTTAAAAAAAACGCTATGCGAAGATTGGTAAGCGAAACGCTTACCGATCGTCACAAAGCGAGTTTTTGCCTATCTAGGCATCGGTATGTGATCGCATTAGCAATCCCAAAAAACGGATCGCTATGCAAATTCGTCGTTAAACCGTGCGCTCGTTATGCGAGGCACCACTGTAGTTCGTCATTGCTGTCCTTCCTAGTCCCATTCTTCTCATTTCTTGGCTGTTGACTGAACCAAGGTGTACAAAATCTTTAACAATTTCAATTTATTTGTTGTCTGTGTTAAAACTGTGCAGTTCTTCTGTAGTCATGTTTTTTCTTCTTCTTAATATTCAACTGCAGTCCTGTTTTGGCACTTTCTTCTTTGATTTTCCCCTAACAATCATTTCAAGTTATTGCTGCTGTCTGACAGTAAGATGGTGCCATCTGCATATCTTAAATTATTGACGTTTCTTTCACCCATTTTCATTCCTTCTTCATCTGAATTTCCTCCAGCTTTCCATTTGATATATTCTATATACAGATTGGACAGATAAGGGGATAAAATGTACGCTTGTCTTGACACTGTTGCCTATAGGAAACTATTATTTCTCTCCATATTCTGTCCTAACAGTAGCTTCTTGTCTGTAATGCAGATTATACATCAGGACACTCAAGTGCTGAGGCACACCCACTTATTTCAGAACAACCCATAGTTTCTCATTATCCACACAATCAAAGGCTTTGCTGTAGTCTATAAAGCACAGGTGGATCTTCTGAAATTCTTTAGTGTGCTCCAGTAGCTGGCAAATATTTGCAATATGATCTCAAGTGCTTCTTTCTTTTTGGTATTCAGCTTAAACTTCAGGCATTTCTCATTTCATATCTTGCACAGGAAATCAATAATGATTTAAGAAAGAATAGTCACCCTTTAAAAAAAATATGCTGCCATTTTATTTTGGCAGAGGTGTTTAGTTTAGCTGTGGGAGGAACTCCCAATGAGTGAAAAGATCAGCCCAGAAGAAGCATTCCATAATTCAGTAGTTTAGGTGGAGCCAGAGGTAAGGGAGTTCGATTCCCCACTGAGTCTCCTGCGAGTAGAGCCAGCCTATGTAGCGGAGCCAGAGGTAAGGGAGTTTGATTCCCCACTGTGTCTCCTGCGAGTAGAGCCAGCCTATGTAGCCTTGGGCAATTCGCACAGTCCCAGGGCACTCCCAGAAGAAAGGCAGGGAAAAGCACTTCTGAGTACTCTGTACTTAGAAAACCTGGAAAGGGTTGCCATGAGTTAGAATTGACTTGGTGGCACATGATGATGATCTATGAGTGGATTGCTCCTGATCCTCAGCTTATTATGGTTCCCCTTTCCCTACATTTCCTTCTGTGCAGAAGATACAGTACAGGACAACCTTCATTAAAGAGAATTTGTCAGGAAAAGTAACACGTAGAAGCTGACCTGTGTGTTGTGCCACCTCATCCAAACACCTCCCCACAATACTACGTTTTTCTTCCTGCACTACACAGGTCACTTACCGGGGCAGTGTATTCCGTTGCTTTGCAGTATTGAGGGACTTCGTAGAGCCCTGGAAAATTAAGAGGGGGGAGGAGAGGGAAAGAATTTAGCATTCAGCAAAAACAGCACTGCCAAAATGTAGCATCAACAGACCAAGAATGAAATAGAGCAGCAGGTAGGAAAACAAAAACGAAAGAAAAAAATATGACACTGGTTGACTTTCTAAAGGCAACACCACTAATAAGGATTATTGTAAGAATTCAGATTAAGAGAACAGAAAGGCAGAACTGGAGAAAGCTAGTTTCATGGACTACAGCTCCCAGAATTCACTAATCAGCATGGCTAGCTGTGGGTTCTGGGAGTTATAGTCTAGGAATTTACCTTTTCCAAACCCTATATAAAACACCAGTATGGGAATCAAATTGAAAAAAAGTACTTGAATGTTCTAATTGCAAATGTTTGTTCTTTTAGTCAGACTTTGGGAAGAGATGCCAATAGCTTTATCAGCTCATTCTTCTTAATCTGTTAAAATAATGGCTGGAATCCTGTTACACAGTTACACGGACGGCATAACTTTTGGAAGTAAATGACTCTAAATTAATAAATCTTTGTAGATATTATCTGTTGCATTCTGAGCTGCAGAATTTAACATTCAATAGAAAATATCTACAGAGATTTTTCTATGGCGATTTCTTAACTTAGAATTTGCCTCCAAAAATCACACTGCTTGCATAACTACGCAACAAGATGTCAGCCAATAAACAGAACTGCTAGATAGTTCAGTGGTTTAATTATCTGGTGGTGGACCTAGAGGTTGGGAGCTCAATTCCCCCCATGCTTCCCTGACAGGGGCAGGACTGGATGATCCACAGGGTCCCTTCCAGCTCTGAAAATCTAAGACTATTACTATAAATCCTATTATAAAATACTATACTGCAATAATAATAATAATAATCCTAGAACTGCAGAGCGGAAAGGGTCCCTATGGATCACAGAGTCCAGTCTCTGTCAGGGAGGCCCAGTGGGGAATTGAACTCCCAACCATTGCCTCTGCAGCCAGAGACTTAAACCCCTGAACGGTCTGTTTTTGGAGGGGGAGGGACAACGTGGAGCCCTTCAAATGTTGTCAAACTACAACTCCCATATTCCCTTAGCATTGTCTACATTGACTAGAGCTGTTGGGAGTTGCCGCCCAACAATGTCTGGAGGGCTGCAGCATATGGAGAAGCCCTTGCTCTCCAGGGCTACAGATATTTTGCTTGTGTTTAACCTTAGCTTGGTAAATATATTCTTAGCCTAATCTGAGCCCTGTCGAGAGGAGATCGGTACAGAACCCTGCCGCTTGCTTCCCTTGCTTCTCTGAGCAGAGGGCAGCCTGCCCATAGAGGTCAGTGTCCTCATGAAGAGACTTTTGGTACCATTTATTCATCAACTGTTTACATACAAAACATTCAGGTCGAGCAGATGGAAGCCCAGCTTTGCACGCAAACGGTGTTAGAATCACAGTCTTGGAAGGGATCTTACAGCTCTGTCCTAATTCAACCTCCAACATCAATCAGTGCAGGATCAGCAGTGCTAGCCATCAGGTGAGAGACATCCAATTTCTTCACATTTTACAGCTTCTTCTTGTAGCCAGAAGTCCCTAAACAACCTTTTCCAGCAGATATTAAACTCAGGTGCTGTTTCCAACAATCTCTGATATTCAGTTTGCCAAAAACAGTCACCCAGTCCGATAAGTTTCAGTGGCTTTGAATAGCTATCAGCTGAAACAATGCTATTGTTCATCAGTGAATGTCAAATTATGCTATATATACTATACTTAATTGCCAACCATTAGGTAAATTCCTACTTATGGCAACCCTTTCCAGGTAGAGAATACTCAGAAATGGTTGACCATTCGCTTCTTCTGGGGGTGTCCTGAGACTAGGCAGTTTGCCCAAGGCCACACAGGCTGGCTCTACTTGCAGGAAGCACAGTGGGGAATCAAACTCCCAACTTCTGGTTATGTAGGCCAGGATTCCCTAACCTTTTTAACCCCATGGACCGGCTAGGGAAGGCTTTAAAAAGTTGTTTCAACAAAACAAAAAGACTGAATAGACTTCTCTTCAGGACATCTTTGAAATCTTGAGGAAATCTTTGTTTGAGATTTACTTCCTACTAGAGTTTCTCCTCTATAGTTTTTTTAAATAAAAATTATGTGTCAGTTAAGAGTTTTTGACCAAGGAATGTATGACCAGCAATATAAAGAGGAATAATAAAAACATGTTTAAATATGTTAGAATCAGGAAACATGCCAGAGAAGCGGCTGGCGCTCTGGATGGTGACAGAGGTAAAGGGGAGGGAAAGGGGGACTTGGAGATTCAGAGAAATTAAATGGGGTATTTGCATCTGTCTTCACAACAGATGACCTTGGGCAGATTCTGCTGCTTGAACTGCCCCTCCTGATTAATGAATTAAATAAGATACAGTAGTACCTCAGTTTGCGAAATGGATCTGTTCTATGCAACGCTACGTAGTATGGAAATTTCGCAAACTGAAATGCTAATTGTGCTATGAAAGGGACGGAGCTATAGGAGCAATAGGTAAAGGTACAGGTTCCCCTTGACACTTAGTCCAGTCGTGTCTGAGTCTAGGGGGTGGTGCTCATCCCCGTCTCCAAGCTGTAGAGCCAGTGTTTATCCATAGACAGTTTCTGTGGTCACGTGGCCAGTGTGACTAGGCACAGAATGCCATTACCTTCCCACCATGGTGGTACCTATTTATCTACTCGCATTTGCATGTTTTCGAACTGTTAGGTTCGAATAGGAGTAATGTGCCCTGGAAAAACCCTTTCGTAGTGTGAAAAAAAGAAGAGAAAACAAGGTAAAGCAGGGATTTATTTCTTATGGATTTCAGTTTGTAAACCAAAAATTACATAAACTGGGCCATTCAAAAACCAAGGTACTATTGTACAGGTTAAAAGAGAGGATGTTTTAGACCTAATTGATAAATTGAAGATCAATAAGTCACCGGGGCCAGATGCACCCACCTAAGGTTTATTAAGGAACTGAGGAATGAAGTGATTTCAGTTTGTAAACCAAAAATTACATAAACTGGGCCATTCAAAAACCAAGGTACTATTGTACAGGTTAAAAGAGAGGATGTTTTAGACCTAATTGATAAATTGAAGATCAATAAGTCACCGGGGCCAGATGCACCCACCTAAGGTTTATTAAGGAACTGAGGAATGAAGTGGCTGATCTCTTAACTAAAATATACAACTTGTCCCTTAAAACGGCCACAGTGCCAGAGGACTGGAGGACAGCACATGTCACTCCAATCTTTAAAAAAGGAATTGGGGGAACCCAGGAAACTACAGGCTGGTTAGCCTAATATCTGTTTCAGGGAAGATGGTGGAAAGTCTCATCCAAGATAAAATCTTAAAACATGTAGAAGAGCAAGCCTTGCTGAGGGAAAATCAGCATGGCTTCTGTAAGGGTAAGTCTTGCCTCACAAACCTTTTAGAATTCTTTGAAAAGGTCAACAGGCATGTGGATGTGGGTAGATTGGTGGATATTGTCTATCTGGATTTTTAAAAGGCGTTTAACACGGTCCCTCAAAAAAGGCTGCTGAGAAAATTCTACAGTCAGGGGATAAGAAGGAAGGTCCTCTTATGGACTGAGAATTGGCTGAGAACCAGGAAACAGAGAGCAGATGTCAATGGGCAATTTTCACAATGGAGAGAGGTGAAAAGCGGTGTGTCCCAGGAATCTTTCCTGGGACAGATGCTTTTCAACCTGTTCATAAATGACATAGAGACAGGGATAAGCAGTGAGGTGGCAAAGTTTGCAGATAACACAAAACTTTTCTGGGTGGTGAAGACAAGAAGGGGGTGTGAAGAGCTCCAGAAGGATCTCTCCAAACTGGGAGAATGCAGCGTGTGGTGGCAGTGAAGAAGTCCAATTCCATGCTAAGTATCATTAAAAAGGGGATTGAAAATAAAACAGCCAACATTATAATGCCATTGTACAAAACAATGGTAAGGCCGCACCTGGAGTATTGCATACAGTTCTGGTCTCCACACCTCAAAAAAGACATAGTGGAACTACAAAAGGTGCAGAAGAGAGCAACTAAAATGATTACTGGGCTGGGGCACTTCTCTTATGAGGAAAGGCTACAGCATTTTGGGCTCTTTAGTCTCAGAAAAGGAGCCTGAGGGGGGGACCTGACTGAGACATATAAAATTATGCAGGGGATGGATAAAGTGAATAGACGGAAACTCTTTTCCCTCTCACACAATACTAGAACCAGGGGACATCCACTCAAATTGAGAGTTGGGAGAGTGAGAACAGATGAAAGAAAATATTTCTTTACCCTTGTTTGTGGAACTCCTTGCCATGGGATGTGATGATGGCATCTGGTCTAGATGCCTTTAAAAGGAGATTGGACAGATTTCTAGAGGAAAAGTCCACTGCAGGTTACAAGTCATGATGGGGATGTATAACCTTCAGGCTTAGAAGGAAAGTACCTCCAAATGCAGGGGACAGGTATCAGGAGACAGGTATCTAGTCCTCTCGTGGGCTCCCAGAGGCATCTGGTGGGGCCACTGGGAAATACAGGAAGCTGGACAAGATGGGCCCTTGGCTGATCCAGCAGGGCTCTTCTTATGTTCTTATGAGCTTCATGAGGAAATGAACTTTCAATTGAAAGTGTCATAGAGCTAAACTCTGCCCTCTCCCAACTAAACAACCTCTAGAACAAAATAAAAAGTGGAGGCAAGAGCAGTGAAAAAGTTTGGGAAGGCATGGGAGTTTTATGCTGCTGTTACTAAGAGAAGCATTATGTTACATGGACAGCAGGAAAATTATGTCTGTCCTCTTAAAGCTTCCTGACCAAGAAAGCAGAGAAGATTAAAACTGATTGGACCAAAGGTTCAAGGAGAAGATGATGACGTGGGCATTAATTCAATGCAAGGGCATGCAAGACAAAGAAGTCCTGCTCCAACAACTTCCTGTAAATAAATAATGCCAATGGGACATGTATTATCCCTATATGAGAAGGTCATATTTATTTCCTGTATGTTTCACAGTATTAGAGCATTGTATTCTATGGTTTCTAGAAATATGTTGGACCCATGTCCATGTCCACTTCATAAATCAGTACTATAGTGTAGCTCATGCTTCAGCTTCCTCCTGTAACTTGGAGCTGAGCTGGTTCTAGGGTTATGCCAAAATAGTTACCAAGCCTTTGTGTGTGAGAACTGGAAACCAAATTAGACCAATATCAGTCACAGCTGGACCCACACCAGAAGGCGAACCAAAATGTGTAACGGTTTCAATCTGATTATCAGGGGCACAAATTCATATTGGGGCAAATGAAAAGCTGAACTGAAAGGGAAGTGTTCGGCTTAATTTCCATTGGTTTCCAAAGCAGCACGCTTTGCTTTGCTTTGGTTCCAGAATGAGCCAAGGTATGACAAATGGCATTTCTTTTTGTGACTTGTATTTGTACCCGTTTATATTTTGTGTGGGTGTGAGTGCTGACTTTTTTATTGCCTCCAAGGAGGCTACCAGCACAGCTGAGGTCAACAATGCTTCTGAAGGGTTCCCACCAGTGATGTTGGCAAGTCTTTCGGTCTGGATCCTGAGTCTGAGTCTTTGGCAGCCCCAAGCCCCAGGTCCGAGTCCCTCTTGAAAACACTCCCCCCCTGCCGCCCCCAAAAAAGGAGGGGCAGGTTGGCACTGAGTCGTGAGTTGAGTCTGAATCTTTTTTTTGGGGGGGGGGGAAACTCGAGTTGAGTCCGAGTTGAGTTGCTGGTGCAACTTAAGTCCAACTTGACAGCAAGTTGCAGGACTTGAGTCTCCATCCCTGGTTCTCACTTTTTTAGTAGTGGTCACCAGTTTCTCCCACCATGCCTGGGAACAACACTGTATCATAAAAATCAGAGACAATGGAACAGGAATGGCCAAGAAGCTGTGGCAAAGTCAACACTGACACTGAAGGGGTGAGGGGAGAGGCATAAAATTAGAGGAAGAAAGCAAACCAGAATCAAGCCGACCTTTGGGTAGAGTGGGTGGCATATAAGTTAAATAAATAAATACCAGAGAAATGAAGCCAGTAATGAACCTAAGGCAATGTTAATGAACAAGTCATAAAATAAGCGAAGCTTTGTAAGTATCAAAATGAATGGATTTACAGACAGAAGGAAAGTGCCCTTGCACACCCACACTGGTTCTGTTTCAGTACCACGGCTTGGGAGGCAAATCAAACATGAAAACGCGCATGTGAGTTCCGAAAGAGCAGAATAAAATGGAGCCTTACCAAGTGCTCAATGCGCCGGACTGGGGCTGTATTCCGCCTCTTGTCATGTGGGAAAAGGAAACAAGGAGAATGCAAAGTTTATTTGGGGGGAAATGAACAACATTAAACAGAAGCTTGCTGGTAGTGCTGTAGTGGTTTTCCTTGAGAAACCAGTCGTGGGAACATAACCAGCAGCCATGGGGGGGCCCTGCAGCTGGCTTGTGTAAACTGTCTACCAACAGCTTAATCCTCAGACAAAGCTGAAGGAAGAGTATGCAGGGCAATGGCTGCATTATACTTTTTCTACAGGAGGTGTCACAGAAGGAGGCTGTGCTTACAGGAACACACTTAATATAAACACACATATCCCCACCACCACCATCTGCAAAGCATCTGAGTATGTTAAACCTCTGGCTCCAAAGCAATCCCCACATATTTCGGGCAAAGGTCTTTGACCCTTTCCTTTTGCAGTCCACTTTCCACTATTCATTGGGAATCCCAGGTGGCCTTCACAGGATCACTGGAAAATCTGTAGTGCAGCTTAAAATCCCATTTTTTACATGCATCCAAGTCGAGCTGGTATTATAGAAGGTGCAGGAACAAGCATACAGCCACGCAGTGAATGTAAACCTTAATATTTTTTTTGTTTTCTTAAAATCAAAGCATTTGGATAGAGCCTGCTTAAATCATAAGGCAGGAATGAAGCCTTTGCCTTACGCGTTTTATTTCAAGTTTAGAGGGGACAGCAAATTCTTGATGAGAACATAGCAAACATTGGTAGAAGGTGATGGTTTTGCATGGCCCACACAGACTGTATAGTTTGATAGCTCCAGCACTTTCAGCAGCTTGCCATATCCTAGGAACAGACTTTCACAGACAGGCCATGGTGCCACACAGCCAAAGGCAGCTAGAAAAAAGAAGAGATTGTTTTTCTAGCTGACAAAAACTTTAAAATGCTTTGGGTCTGGCCCAAGGTTCATCTCAAGCACCTTTGTCCTTCACCCCTTAGTGGGGAGTCAAAACTTACTCATCCCTTTTTTTTCTTTCCACAGTGGAAAGGTAGAGTGCAGCACCTTGCCTTCTGCTCTTTTCCTGAAGAAACGCTGGTGGGTGACAGCACGGTGTGCTCCTGAGAGAAGGCATTGAGGGAAGGAACCTCCCACAACACACACGTTCCCCATGTTCTTTCCTTTGGGAACTGGCTAGCAAAGTGTCTAAAATTCTGGCTCAGCCAGCAATGTCTACTGCAAATATTCATCCTCTGCTGTGTGGGCAGCCTTTGTTTTCCCTCAGTGGCCCAGTGGGTAAGAATCTCTTCACATCACAACGCTGAGAATACTGTCTTTCTCCAGGCCGAGCATGATCAATGGGCAACCTCATAACATTAAGTATCCTATGATCCTATTTTTTTATTGCCCCACCCATTCCCACCTCTTCCCCCACCTTTGGAACAGGGTGGCTATTAATAATCTGTTGATTCCTTTTCCCAAAGAATAGCTGGCTCACTCTTTCTTTCTTCCCTACTCAGTCTGGCAAAAGCTGAGGGAAGGGAAAATTGCAGTCATGGCAGGAATAGAGAGGAGTTTCTCGCTTTATTGTGTCTGAGAGAGGAGACACCTGTCCTTTCGTCACTGGGATGGACTGTCGCCAGGTAAAACAGAACCCAGTGCCAAGCAAGCATCTCTTGATTGCAGCGATCCAGCCTGTGGTGAAAACGTGAGGTAGGGAGATTCTCTTTCTTCCTTCCTCTCTCCCTCCCTCCCTCCATCAAAATAAGCTCTGCTGCATCTGCCTTACAGGCAAGAAATCTCTCTACATCACAAGAGTGTCTGGTACACGTACAGTACTATATATACTCAGTGCATAAAAGCCAGGGTTGCTGGGCCCGTCTGCTCAACTATGGAAACTGAATGTCAGTCCTAGAAGACTCTTCTCTATTTGAACACGACAGTGGAAAATTAGTAAGAGGGCTCAGTTGTCTTCCTGGACCCCCCCCCCCATGAGTGCAGGTCTTACTTTCCCTTGTTGAGTTTAAGTTCACATGTATGTATGCTCACCATCTGGGGCTGAAACCCCAAAGTGGGATTTCCATGCACAAGACAGTTAAAATGTTACCATCAGCTTACATAATGTGAGGTGACAGAAGACATGAGGCTTTTCTACACAAAAGCTAGAGTCTTTTAAAGCCATTCTATTATTTAATATACATTTTCTTGTTTTATCAGCTTCATGTTTATCCTACATATGGCCTCTCCTCCTCCAGTTTGAGCCCACAGCAACCTTGTAGGACAGATCAGGGTGAGAGAGGAAGTGAGTGGCCCAAGTTCACGCTGTGAGATTTATAGCTTAGTAGAGATTTACAGGAGGATCTCCCAAGTCTGAGGGCAACCCTCTAACTCAGTGGTTTCCAACCTTGGGTCCCCAGATGTTCTTAGGCAGCAAAACCTGAAGCCCTTGCCAGTACAGCTAATAGTGAAGTCTTCTGGGTCTTGCAGTTCAAGAACATCTGGAGACCCATGATTGGGAACTGCTGCTCTAACTAATACACACCATCAGCTCTCAATATAATTGGTTGGGCATCACTATGAACCATCATGCTGAGCATACAGCAGGGCACAACTTCTGTTTTAATAATGGGTAAAGGAATCAAGGAACCATTAGCCTTCTAAAATAGTTGCACTTTTTTCAGTAACAGGCTTGGAAGACTAATTGTTTAGACATTGTTTTCTACTGGAAGGAAAACAACCATCCATCTGGAAAAACAAAGTCAAAGTGTCATTCATTTAAAAATCTTTGGATCTTTATCCCACCATGTTGTCCATGTGCACGTGCACATGACTATGTACTTGTTTTCCTTTGAGAAAACTTTCTTAAATCTCAGATCTTAAGATTAGAATATCACCTTGTGATCCTTATCCCTTAGGAATCATAATTCCCAATTTTTGCTCGGCACTCTCAGAACGAGGGAGGGAGGGCACCTTTTATAGCCTTCTCATGAGCTCCTTTGCCTTGCTTTTTGGCAGGCTCATGGCTAAATTAGATGTGATATCAGGCCACGGACCCGTGCCATTAAATCCATGCCTCTCCCTTAACATGTGAAGTGCAGTGAAAGGTCTGAGCTTTAGAACAGAAAGGGAGCATGAGAGAGAGAGAGATGAGATGGGCCTTCAGGAACCAGCCTGGCTGGAAACGAAAGCCTTCTAGCACTGATGCATGGGCCATGTCATTCCAGAAGATTCCAATTAGTGCTTCTGATGGGCCTGCCCCCTTGGCCCCTGAGCTTTAGAACAGAAAGGAAGCATGAGAGAGAGAAGAGATGGGCCTTCAGGAACCAGCCTTGCTGGAAACGAGAGCCTTCTAGCACTGATGCCATGTCTGCATGGGCCATGCCATTCCAGAAGATTCCAATGAGTGCTTCTGATGGGCCTGCCCCCTTGGCCCTTTCTAAGGTCTAGCCTCTTTTCACATTATGGCTGATGCTCACTGACACTTTGATCTCCTGCTTGTTAGTTTTAATATTGTCTTTTAATGATGTAAGCCGCCTTGCGTCCTTTTAAGCAGAAAAGCAGAATAAAAGTATTTTAAATGAAAAAAACAAGAATTTAATCATATCATTATAATCTATTTTCTTTGTTACTGTTAGTTGTATATCATAATCTGCTGGAGTTGTTTCAATCCTGTATGTTTCAGTAGGTTTAGCTGGGAAGGACCTTTCTGAGCTGCGGTGACTTGTTCACTCCAGCAGTAATCAATTCTTCCTTGCTTGCCTCTGATTTTGAAGACAGCCACACTTCCCTGTTAAAGAGTCTTTTACTCTCCTTTTTGGTTTGCCTGCAGTTAGTACACAGAATACAGTTAGAATGCAGTCTGCAGGAGTCTGCTGGGAGCAGGCTGTGAGTTGGCTGAAACCTGTTGCTTTAAGCAGTCATTTTAAAAATCAGTACAGCGGTGCCTCGACTTAGAAACTTAATTGGTTCCTGAACTCCGGTCGTAACTTGAAATGGTTGTCAGCTGAAGCACCATTTCCCATAGGAATGCATTGAAATGCAATTAATCCATTCCGGCCGAAGGAAAAACACGCACCAAACAAACAAACAAACAAACAAATAAAAACCCCACTGCAAGACCTGTCAGAAATGCGATTAATCAGTTCTGGCCGAAGGGGGGAGGGAAAAGCAAACAAACCGTGCAAGAAAGACCATTCGGAAATGCAAAAAAAGCAAAGCAAAAAGCAAACAAACCCTGCAAGATCCATCGGAAATGGGAAAAAAGAAAACCTAAAAGTAAGCAAACCCTGCAAGACCCATCGGAAATGGGGAAAAAAACCCCAAAAGCAAACAAACCCTTTAAGACCCATCAAAAAGGGGGGAAAACCCCAAAAAGCAAACAAACCTTTTAAGACCCATTGGAAACGCGAACCCCCCTCAAAAAATCAAACAAAGACTGCAAGAACCATAGGGGGGAAACCCCTCAAAAGCAAACAAACCCTTTAAGACCCATAGGAAACGCGAACCCCCCCAAAAAAATCAAACAAAGACTGCAAGAACCATCACAGCACAGAAACATAAACCCCCAGCCCAAAACCACGCTGCAAAACCCACAGTTTTGTTAACTGATCAACAGTTTTTAAAAAGCAGAAAGCAGCACCTCACCTTACCAGGCAGTCTGAAGCCTCCTCCAATCACACACTTTCTAACTGCTGGGGTAAAAGAGCTACAAAGAAGCAGCTTCTTCACCACCAACTGTTAGCAATTTGAATTCCCTGCCTTCCCCCCCTGCCTTTTCTTGATCGTAACTTCAAGCTCCTGCCGCAAGTCAAAGATCACACACTTTCTAACTGCTGGGGTAAAAGAGCTACAAAGAAGCAGCTTCTTCACCACCAACTGTTAGCAATTTGAATTCCCCCCTTCCCCCCCTGCCTTTTCTTGATCGTATCTTCAAGCTCCTGCTGCAAGTCAAAGCAAAATTGTATGGCCGGAGCTGGTTGTAACTCAAAATGGTCATATGTCAGGACATTCGTAAGTCAAGGCACCATTGTATCCTGTCTGCTCTCTGTAACTGTGAGTAAATTAGACCTGTTTATTCTTTCTCTTACCAATGCCTCAGCATAAGTTATTGAGACTCCAAGTGCCACTTCATGAGAGAAAACGTGTGTTATACTCTGGAAAGACGTGAAGGTAATTCTGTTCTATACGCCTCTGCACGTCTGCTGCACAGCTAGAATTTAGACAAAATTCAAAACTCTGCAGCATAATCACCATTAGCATCATTGGTGCTTTCATTCTTCAAAATTTAATGGCACAATAAATATTTGCTTTTTGTATATACTCTATGTGGAATTTGTACACATAAAGAACATTTAGATGAGCCTAGATAAGGATCTAGAGCTTCCAGTGTCTGATGGCATGGAGTGGCAAGTTGCCCCTGAAGATCTTCAGAGAGGATCACAGAAGCCTTTGCCAAAAAGGCAGCGGGCCAATGGCTGGAATCAGAGGCAGGGTTTCCTCTTAGCTCAAGAAACTGGTGCCAAATTATGGCACCAGGAAGACCGGAGGAAACCTGGCAAAGTGCCCTACATGAGGTAAAAAACATCACCGTGAGTAGGGGTCTTCTTGTGAGTAAGCTGTCCTTAAGAGGAGGCCCTTCTCCTGGGAAAACATCTAATAAAGAGCTTAATTCACTTACTAAAATGTCAGTTGCAGGGTGGAAGAATTACTAGAAACACTGCCTGTTCTTACTTAGGCTTCATCAGCCACACCTTACTCTTCCCATTCTTATTTTAACTTTTGTGCCCTGTACGGGCTTGGAACTGTTTTGGGACTGCTTTGCTTTGGGATTCTCCTCATCTTGTTATCATTTTGCTCTGATGGCTGGTGAACTCTGTTTGACTGTCTTGATTTGACCTTGGCTATGGTCAACTCTATGCTTCATACTAGTTTGCCAGCTGGTAGGACTTGGGTTTGACCTCTGCTGTATATTTTTCTGGGCCTTCTGGATTGCCCAGTTCTGGACCAGGAAGCTAGTTACTTGGCAAATGTGAAGTAGATGGACAATGTCCCTTGTTTTTATATGACTGGTGAAAGGACAGACCTCAGCCATCAGACATTGTCCACCTCTGCTCTCTATATCTGCAAGGTTAATAGAGAACTAAAAATGAGCTTTGAAGACCCAAACACCTCAAATGGAGTAATAATGTGAGCATGTACATCCTTTCTCCAGCCTAGAGTATATCATTCTGATGCTTGGAAGTCATAGGAGGAACAATTATTACATCATGCAAGCTGGCACTGTACCAGAAAACTCTGATCTTTCCTATATTTGTAAGCAAAAGTTCTGATGCTGCCTATCAGAGCTGAGAGCTTTCATATACATGTAGAAGAATCCTCACTTGATAGCGCCTTCTATCTTGATAGGAGCTGTGATGAGCCTTGCTTTTCAACCCATGTGGTCCCTATGTTGTCAATGTCCTCTATTAATCCCAGATTCAAGTAAACACAAGGTCGTGACTGAATCAAGTAACAAAGGATGACCTGCAAGACCTTTTGAAGAGGGATCTGGACAGTTCTTATCTATTTCTCGGCCTCTTGGTCTTCCTGTGAAACTAACATTCCTCTGTAGAAGGAGGTTATCAAAAACATCCTTGCTCCAACAGTGTTGGCTTTAGCTTGTGTCCTTCTTGGATTTGGCAGACCTGAACGTTTTGCTATTACTAGTGATTTAGCTCACAAGGCAGGGCTGTACGTATCTCCTAGCTTGATCCTCATGGAGTAAACAGGTCAATGGGAACTCAGCATGGATGTATCCTCTTAAGCTGCATGATTAACATTTCTTTCATTCTCATCATGTTCTAAGTGGATATTTTACCTTGCAAAATAACTGAGCACTCAAAGTCCCTAACTGTTGTCATCCATTCTCACATTAGCCCCGTACGTGAATTGATATTTTGTTTGATTTTACAGATGCAACTGAAAACAGAAGACTTGTGGATGAGAAAAGAAACCATCTTCAGCAGCAAAGAGGAAAATGGCAGGCTTCCTTGCAAACGGTCCTAGAGAGAAGGTGCCACTAAAGAAAAAGCCCCGCACTTCATCCTGTCCAGTCCAAATACTGTACAGCTAAGAAAGAAATCATAAGCATAATTTTTCCTGAAGGTCTCAGCATATAGGAAGGCTGATAAAGAAGAAAATATTTCCTCTGGTAACCTGTGCCCAATTTGTTTAAGGCGTTCATGTCCGAGACCAGAATTTTGAATTCAGCCCAGAAATGAGCTGAGAAAGTCTTGCAGCTATTTTAGTATAAAATAGTATAATATGACACCTGTAGTTCTACCCCATAATGAGCAAGTGGACACATTTTCTGACTGCTTTTGCAAGAAAGCCCTGCTTAGAACATGCTATAGTGACCTAACCTAGAGGGTGTCAAAGAATATGACAGAAGGGCCCACCGCTCCATTCTTGGAGACACTGTGAGCCTTGACAGCCAACAGGGAGATCTCGGAGCAAAGCCAGCTGCAGCAGTACCCCCACGTGGTTCTCCTGATCTTTGAAAGGGGAATTATTATCTCCTAAATCCATCCCCCCTCCCCTTTACCAGCATCTCTGTCTTGTTCTGACTGTGCTGCTTTTTATTTCAACATCAGTGCCTCTGTGTATCCAAATGAAACAACCACAACAACAACCACATCACAATTATGCAACCACTAAAGAAGGCACAATTGCCAAACAGATGTTGAATCAGATAAACTTTTAAGCAATGTTGAGACTGAAATAGGTGATGGGAAAGGGAAAGTATATTAAAAACAACCCCAGAGGATTCTACCAATGTTTGATCAGTTAACAAATACATCTGCCAAAGGACTTGAAAAGGGGGTGGGGGTGTGGGGGAAACCTGCCATGGTGATAAATCCTCTTTCTAAGGACACATCTCTGTGTTAGCAAAGGGAGTTTCATGTTTAATTCCATCCTGGCCCTTTAAGCCGAGAAGTGAGGGACAGATAGAAGTGTGTGGGGAGGAAGGGAAGGACGGATGAAAGGGGGCAGTCAGTGTATAATGGGTGAGTAAAAAGATCCACACTTACCAGTTCAGGCGGCGGGAGGGGCTGGCATGGGGATGGCACCTGGAGACAAGAAGAAATTGAGAAGGGCACGTTCAGAGGCGCGTCCCAGGTCAGTTTGGAGGCTCGACACTTGGTCCTCATCCCTACCACAAAGAAAGCTGTGCAATGACGTCCCTAAAGGAGTCCTTCCTCTGCCCACACTACAAGCTGGGGTGGGGTGGGGGGAGCGAGAGTGAGTGGGGAATTAAAAAAGAAAAGAAAAGAAAAAGAAAAAGCCTCTTGCTGAGTTCCAGCCTGGCTAGATCTGCCTCTTTGCCCATTAGGGTGTTTGCTTTGGCCTGGCCAGTGGGCCCTTCCAGTGACGGCGCTCACATAGGCTGCGATTCATCATAGCTGGGGAGGCTTGCAGGGGTGGGTGTGGGGGGCTAAATATAGAGCAATATAAACAGGCTGCACCCCACCCAGGCAAGAAGCACAGTGAGGCTATTCAGCCCTTGTGCTTCCCTGCCTCACCTGGCGGAACGGCCTTCCACATCCCTGGACTGACCCACCAGGGAAGAGGGAGGGTCCAGGCACCGTTCTCTTCACCTTCCCCAGTTCTGGGGCAGCAAGAAGCAGAGACGACGCTTCGTTCTTCAGTAGCCTCCTGCTCTCAAGACTGGGCTCTTACCATCGCGTTGCCTGTCTGTTATTGTTAATGAATCAAGCTGGAGTTTAGCAAATGCAACTCTTTTTGTCCAGCTGCAATTCATTTGCTGGCTTTCCCTGTCAGGCCTACATCCTTCTCTCTCTCTCTCTCTCTCTCTCTCTCAACTGTGGAGAAAGAGTATGCAGTCCAGAGTAAAACAGCAAACATGTGCAACCAGTTGTGGATGTCCACAGAACTTGATAAGAGAAAAATCATTCCGGGAGGCAATAATTTGGATCGAAGAAGTACCTGAGAATTAGCGTGCTGGAATTACCTTAACTTCCCTCTAGTTATATTCATGTTGCTTTTCCACCGTAACACACAAACTGCCTTCCTTGCCTTGTGGAATTCCAGACACGTCTTTACAACAGTATGTAAAAATTAAATGTGAATTTGGAAGAGAACAACATCATGTTCAAAATATATGTAAGTAAAATATTTCTGAACTAGGGATTTGTATCTGCCCAATGATCTATTTGCTTTATAATAAGAACATTAAACATTGGATATGAGTGCAAATCAGCAGTTTCTGTAAATAAGAAGATAATTGTTTGTCCCATGAATGTATATAAAATCTACACATAAGTAGAAAATAATGGGGTTTTTTATTTAATGTTCTAAAGAAAGATAGAGAAGCAGGAATCTGCACAAATTTAACCTAATCCCATTAAGTCTGTAATAATCATACACCTACTGCTGTGCCTAAGAGACATTTCTATGGCTTTTCTAGATTTCTTTTATGTAGTCAAATTTTTCTAACATCTTTTAACTAATTTGTCTGTCAAGCATATTCAACAGAGCTCAAACAGCTCTTGAAAATCTTCCCTTACAACATAACCACACCCTTGCAGAACTCCGTATCTGTGGAATTCTTTATGGAATCTGCCACAGTACATGAATTCTTGACATTCTTAAGTGTTTGTCTGGTGCAGTGCAAGCAACTTTGTTAGAATTCTTGTTTGTGGAGATATGTTTGTGCAATATGTAGGCTGGGTTAAGGAGGCCCAAGCTCTACAGTATGTCCTACCTGGGGGTATTTTAACTTCTCCTCCTTCCATTTAATCAAACTTTGCTGACTTCTAAACTAATTTTGCAGGGATTCAGAGAGCAAACTCAGAACAGAGGTTTTGCCTACTAAGTATTTTGTTGCATACATTTTGTGGACGTGCATGTCTATCATACAGAGGAATGTCATTGACCTTCTGTATGTTGGTCTTAACACACAGGTTTAAAATGTGTGGTCAAATGATCATTGTATATCCATGTTTGCTCTTCGGAATTGGAACCCAAGTAGAAAGGCAAAATCCAAAGAAACAAAACAAGACAAGACAAAAACATGTGGCACATTAAAGACTAACAACTATATTTTAATGTGAGCTTACAACAGAGCCCTAAAGCAACATAGCCATAAATTACTGCATGTAAATGTAAAGTACATCCAAGAGTCAATGAATATTTAGTATGAAACTGATATTTCATTCAACATTTCATTCTGTTTCCATATGTCTGACGAAGTAGACATGTCCACAAAAGCTCACATTAAACTATATCAGTTGGTCTTGAAGATAGCACTTGTTTTTGTCTTTTTTTCCTTTTGTTTCTTTGGATTTTGGCTGCTATGCTTGCACAGGCTAACACGGCTACCTGTTCCAAAAAATACAAGTAGAAAATGTATCCTAAATAACGGGTCTTCTGTTAATGAGCAATCCTGAGTAGTTTGGTTAATAAAAGGAGGTGTTTCTTTATTCTTGTTTTGGCTGTACTCTATCTATCAGAGCATCAAAAAGAGTTTATTTATGTTGCTGCAGCCAGGAAAAAGGCTGCCCCCTACTTATGTCTTCAAGACCACAGTAGATCCTCTTGGATCATAAGTGAAAAGTGTGACCCTTGATATGTTGTTCGGATGCAACAGCCTGGATCAATGTCCCCAATAGTGAGGTATGCTGACATCTGCAATCCAACAATATTTGGACAGTCACATTTGGCCTTTTCCTGCCTTAAGTGCATCCCTAACTATATAAGATAGTCTCTGGGTTACAGTTGGGAATGAACTCACCTAAGATAGAGCCATGGCACTAACCCAGGGCTTCCCAACCTTGGATCCCCAGATGTTCTTGGGACTACAACTCCCCAAAATCCTGGCCAGCACACCTAGTGGTGAAAGCTTCTAGATGTTTTAGTCCAAGAACATCTGGAGACCCAAGGCTGAGAACCGTTAGACTAGACAATACAACTACACAACACTAGTCTAACAATTTGGTAGCAAGCAGATAGAGCCATGGGTTTTCTGAAGATCCAGTGCTAAATTAAGGACATTTTGAAGTGGAGGACTCTCCAGTATAAATTGGGACACGTGGCCATTCTACGGGGTTCAAGAAGTTCTAGGTGCCTGGAGAAAGGAATGAGAATTTTGTGCCTGAGTTCACCAAAATTCTTCATATTTCATAAAGAAAGAATTTGAAAGTTAAAAAAACAGGAGGAATTGAAACTAACAAATTCATGAATCTAGGCTCAGGGCTTTGAGTGCATAACTGATGTGAAGCCCTGCAGATTCAACCAACTTAGGGATGAATTGCGGTCCTGCTTGCCTTCTTGGGCAAATGGCTGATCATGCAATCAGGCACCCAACCAGGAACGCAGCTGGCACATTGTTACTGACTGGCAATTTGCCACCAAGGTTTAAGTCTCCTCCCTTGAACCAGCATAAATCAGCAATAGGATTCTGGCTATTGCTTTTAACAAATGCATGGCACCTAAGTTGCTCTTGGCTCACATCCTTAGACAGCAGTGAGACGGAATACAATGGGGCGGTTTTGCAGAGGTTGTCAGAAAACCTGTTGTAGCTGAAAGCAAAGGAAGTTCCTTTCTGATGGGGATGACGGAAACAAGAAAGGTGGCCATGTAAATTCGCAGGTCACAGGCCTAGGCCCAAACCAGCCATCAATGCATTTTCAAATTATACCATCCACAAGGTATATTACCCAGCATAGTGTAATGGCCAGAGTGATGGACTAGGATTCAAGAGACCTGGGTTTGAATCCCTGCTCTGCCATAAAAAAGCAGTGCAGAACTGGTAGAACCTTAAATACCTCACTTCCTTTGAAAACTCTATTAGGATTACCAGGAGTCCGAATTGACATAATGTGTCATTGTTATTGTTATCACTGTAGGGGAGGATTTCTATGACTTGTCATTCTTCCCCCCCCCACCCCCGCAACCTATGTTTGAGCTTATGGGTGGGTTTGAACGTGTTTATGAGTAATCTGGTTAGAAAGGCCAAATTACTCATAAACATACTGTATTTGAACTTGCTTATGGGTTCAAATGTAGGTTGCAGAGAAAACGTGAAATGTCATAGAAATCCTCCCCCTACGTATAACATGTTTTTCATGAAAAATCATTTCATTCAGGTCCAGCCCCATCATTAGGTAGAGTGGAAGCAGCTGCTTCAGGCAACAGATTTTGGGTATCATGAAATAGCAGCAAGCTCCTAGTTAGATATTTTGTTATTATAGATTCCCCCCCCCCAAAAAAAAACACAGGTTTATGGGGGATTATCTGCCTTGCATAGGTTGAAATAATTTATTCAGATTCTGGTAGGATGCACTTTGTATGAAGGAGAGAGACAGAGAACAATCTGCTACTTTACCTCACGCAACAAAATGTCCTAGACTGGGTGAAACATATGCTGAAAATTGTTGCTCACAGAGATTTAACAACAAACACCATCACACACTGCAACTGCGAATGAAGAGGTTGGATCCAGGCACTTCAGGTTGTGCAGTCAACAAAATGGCTTCCTGTAATAACCTAACAGTGTTCTATAGAAAAAGGCATTTGCCTTCTTCTTCAATACTTCTTGTACATCAGAATTGAGGAAAGGAGCTTTTTCAATACAACTGCCAGAATCCTCCCAAGCCAAAAGAAGCAAGTGTCCAGCATTCACCAAGATACAGTCTGTCTGCCTGTATATGAGTATGTATATTTTCCACAGTGTGCATCCAACTCAGTGGCCCACTGACTCTTCAGCTACTGCATCATCTTAGAAATGCAGAGCTGGAAGGGACCCTATGGATCATCAAGTCCAGCCCCCATTAAGGAGGCACTGTGGGGGATCGAACTCCAAGCCTCAGAGACTGAACCACTGAGTTATGAATGTCTTATTTACACAGCTGAGCAATGACTGATGATCAAAGGGGTTGAGTCAGATGGCAGGGTAAGGCAAGTCATGTCACACCACAACACAGCACAGCACAAAGTAGGTCTTTTCTCAAGGTAAACAAGTACCTATGGAGAATGGGGGTTGTGGGTTTTTCGGGCTCTTTAGCCGTGTTCTGAAGGTTGTTCTTCCTAATGTTTCACCAGTCTCTGT